AGGAATCGCCTCCACTTCTTCTTCCTCTTCTGGGGAAAATGAAGGTAAAAAACGCAAGTTCTTGTTGCAGTGAGCAGCAAACCGCTTCCAGAGGCAACATTGACTTTCGGAACGTCATAAGGCGCGCATAAAATGGTCGGGCTGGTAAGACAAGCTTAATTTGTTGTCTTCTGGACATGTCAGTTTCGTGAAAGGATAGTTACTACGGTGGACATCCTCATGCACCCCTCAGGCACACTTCAATATAGCACCGGATGGTGACGGTTGGTCTATACTGTATGGCGGACGCCGATCCATTATACTTGTGACTGTATTGCACGAACGGTGCTGGGGATAGTGTCTGCACGTAATGCTGTTGCGTAATTCGAGAGGGTTACCTTCATAACTAGCCCCCGCTGACGGTCATTCCGCCAATCACAACACATGGACGTACTGAGTAACCCTCCAGCTAGATTGCCAGACAGGTCCATGCTGTGTAGAATTCCTGTCGGGCATTCTAGAAGTTAGTGAATACAGACCGTCCGGTAGCCTAACGTCTTACGGTCTCCCAAATTTGTCCAACTTCATAGTCTGCCGATGAGGTTCTACTGAAAGACAGAACTGAGGCTTTTTAGAGATATATGGTGAAAAGCAAAGGAGAAAAATCTGACGAATAGGTGCTCACCTTGTCTTCCTTGGTGGATAGCTGTACAGGTGGGTACTGCAATCCTCTAACTTCCAGCCTGTCACCGACCACGGTTGTGGTGGTGGTGGTGGTGAGAGAAGAATCTCCGTTGAAGTGCTGTTCTAGGCGCCTCTGTTTCGCGACCCTCACTTCGTCTCCATCGTTCTTTGGCCTCTGTTCACCAAAACGAGCGGCGAGGAGGGCAAGCACCCAGGCGACGTCGTTTTCGAGGACCAGGAGAAAGGCGTTTGGACCTGCATCGAAGGTGTAGGCTAACTGCAAGGAATAACAGTATTCAAGTTTGCAAAAGAGTTCCGGGATAGGAAACAGAGAACATGTAAGCGTTCACCGGAACGAGTTTTTCATCGATGACGCAGCACACTAGCCGACAGAAGAGCTGTCACAAACGTAGCTGCATTCGTACTCTTTTCCAAAGAGTTGACACCCAATGCAGCACGCCAGAGGACAGAAAAACTGAACAAGAATACCTTCATGACCTCTTCCAGGCTAACAGATAACCAAATCCTTTTATCAACCAAAGCAGGCGCCAAGTGGAGAGACGGCGGCCAAAGAGAACCACAACAGACGCGTCTACGAACCACGTTCCCACCCGCCCTCTTGGCGGCCAAGGTCTGCTACACCCATCTCCCTACGTTGGATCAACTCTCCCC